TATATACAGACTTCAACAAAAGTTAGGGACCACTTGCAAACACTCTGAGTGGTCTTCTTGGGTCAACCTGCACGTGGGCGTTTTTTGGACTGATGCAGTGGCGCAATGGTGCTGCCTCAGACGGACAATGACAGAGTATGACACTGCGAGCCTTCTGGCAACTTCTCGGGCTCCAACTCCATCCTCCATTGCTCTGGCACGATCAAAGTCTCTCAGCCTTTGTCTTGGTGGTATGTTGATGCGATACCGGATTTTGCGCAAAAGGTGGCTTATATTGCCACCAAAATGAGCACAGTTCGAGATCGTACGTCCGTTTATGACGTGTTCCAGAAATTGTAACTGAGGAAAGTCCTTGGTGTCGCACACAAGTCGATAAAAAAACCACCAAATTCGACTAAAATTCCCAGAGGACTTCCGTGCTGCACGTGGTTGTTTTGGTCCTTTAGAAGGCTTTGCATTACGCGTTGGTAACCCATTAACACTTTCAGAGAAAAACTTTAGAAACATTCCTTGCTGTCTTTTTTTCGGATATTTTTAAAAGATTAAGACTGTCTGTCAAAGTGGTCCTTAATTTTTGTTGAAGTCTAGTCTTTATATACCTATTGTCCTGCAACGTAATGCAGAAATGGAGAGACTGAGTCTTACAATCCGCGCCCCGGTTTGGTCTGGATTCACTCGTATACCCATTGCTTTCTTTTGTTGTTGCTGTTGTCGTTGTTGTTATTGTTGTTGTTGTTGTTTTTATTGTTGTTGTTGTTGTTGTTGTTGTTGTTGTCGTTATTGTTCAACATCTTCTTCTTCTTTCTATCACGTCCTCTCTCCCAAACCTATGTTTGTCTCGTCTCTGCCTGTATGTCTGTCTGTGTGTCTGTCTGTCTGTCTGTCTGTTGTTGTTGTTATTGTTTTTGTTATTATTATTGTTGTTGTTTTTGCTGCTGCTGCTGTTGCTACAGCTGTTGCTGCTGCTGCTGTTATTGTTGCTGTTACTTTGACTTTGTTTTGTGTAATGGAGAAAGATTTTTCGCAATTTCCCCTCGGTTGGGTTGTGGTTTACAAACCGTCTTTCGATAACTGTACCTCTCGACCTGGAACATTTCACAATACGTTCTTGCTCAACATCAGAACGAAAAGTGGACCGCGTACCTACAATCTGGAGCAGCTTTTAGGTCACTCACTCCCCATGTTTACATCGTATTTTTTTGTTTTGTTTTGTTTTAATGGGGACCGAAGAACGGCGACCATAACAGCATGTGGTCTAGCTGTACAAGTCCTAAAATACGTCGTGGTGAAGTCAAGCGCCCGTCAAAATAATGAAATCAAAGAAACATACTTTTCTGGTCGTTGGGCAATTTTTTAAAAATTGAATTTTATTTTTTTATTTTTTATTTTATTTTTTTCCTTCTTTTTTTGGCTTGACATTTTTTATGACAATTTAAAACACCTTTTTGTGTGGAATTTTACAGAAAAACGTTGATTAAAGGCTCAACAACTGTAAAACTGCAGTTTCCAAGGATCTTCAAGCTATTGAAGTCACCGAACTTGGCCGGCCACTTTCTCGCTAATTTTACCTCTGAACCCAGTCGACCCCCAACTCTTTCAATCGCAAGTTGCTATTGTTTTTGCTGTTGTTGTTATTGTCATTGTTCTTGTAATTATTATCATAACTATTATTTTTCCTAAAGATGCTAATTATTATTACTATTATTTTTTCTAAAAATGCACGGCTGGATTTTTACGTAAACAGTAAATCATTATTGAATTAACATTAAATAAATCTTTCACCTCATTTTCCTAATGTTATTAGAAAGTTTCTACCCCCCCCCCTTCTCCCGCCCTATCCCTCTCTTTCCAAATTAACCTTTAAAAAAAGAACCAACAAAAGGTTGCTTAACAATGTCAGCAGATAGAGGAGAGAGGATAAAGACCATTTACATTAACCTAGTCGTCTCCATTCTCTTTCACCTCCCCCACCTCCCCCCCCCATATCACCCCCAGTCTACTCCTTCCTCTTCTATTGCAAAGGATGGAGGTTAGGTGTACATTGTATTCACAGAACATTAATACAGATGTGAACATGTGAACTTGTGAACGGGAAAGCCAAACGTGATGGAATGAAAAAAAGAGCAGCCAGTTACAGTCAACAGAGACCAAATGGCATGCAGACAGAAGAGGAAAAAAAATCCAACAACCCTTACCTTCCTCCTGAATGACCGTTTTTCACAGGGCAAGCCAGGTCGAAGACTTTGTCGAAAGAATTCTGAAATGGAAAACGTAAAAGAATTTTTCTTTTGAGTACGAGTAGATCTAAATGAGAAAACGTAGGCGAATTTTTCTTTTGAGTACGAGTAAATGAGAAAACGTAAAAGCATTTTTCTTTTGAGTACGAGTACATGAGAAAACGTAAAAGTATTTTTCGTTTGAGTACGAATAAATGAGAATTGATATATTTGTCAAAAACATAATACATCTTTATTTGGTTGTTAAAGTGAAAAGGGGCTCGTCAACACAATGAGGGTTATTCAGTATTTTTTTAGTGCAAGGGGAAAAACAAGAAAAGTAAAAACAACAGTAGGAAGGAAAGTAAAAATGGCCCACCGTTGGCGCCCTCCAACAACCTACATATTAAAGAGTTTTGCTGAAGCCCTTGGTATAATAAGGCAGCGGGCTGTGGGATTATGGCTGCTGTTAACACACTGCTCAAATTTCAGAACTTCTTATACTTTTTCATCCAAATCAAAACAGTACTGAAAAAAACTGCGGAGATCTGTAGAAATTCCATAACCCTATCAGTATGTCGTGTTTTACTATCGTATCCATACGACGTGGGGAACTCTGTGCCACCACTTTTCAAAGAGTAAATTTACTCGTTAATCCGATCGGTACGCTTTGCATTGCAGTCTGTCAAAATTATTTTTTTTTTAAATACTGAACGTTTCAAAGAGATCTTCGTACTAGAAGTATTCTTAAATGGGAAGAATACAACCCTGGGGTTACAAAATGACCCCAGGGCGTACGGATAGGGTTAGACAACGTAAGTTCAAGAATATCCCACTGGGAATTGAACCAAGGTCATCCGCGTTCGCCTTCCGGCAGGCCAGCAGCTATGCATCCCTTTAACATAGGGAATAGCGACACACTTTTCATCAGAGTTAATGTTTAGATCCTTGATAGGGTTCGGGTCTGGATTAGGCTTTTTTGTGCATGTCTAATATAGTGATCGGACTAGTTTTTGCCTTAGTAACGGGTTACGATAAAAGTTTTGGCCAGCGATGTTGTCTGTAAGTAGTAGGCAATAAACAAATTATGTTTCAAGAAGCCCACAGCACCAACACAACGCAAGTATATATAGTTTTGTCGTGCTTCTTTTTGTTTTATTGTCCATTACTCGCCCACAAAACAGTGTCCCAACTGTTTTGTCGTACTGAGGTACTGGATTTACGGACACAATATATTATAACCCGTAGGGCTTATATTGATACTATTTTCCATCCGCGTTTAGCTGATTCTGTTATCTGGTTTGTTATTGTTAGTAGAGCGTATCACAATAATTGTTCAAACGATGAGTCACAATTCTCAAAACGCAAGAGAAAAAGTGTGAACCAACCAACAATGATCATTTATAGTCTGTATAGATAATGTCGGACGTCTCAACAGAGAAATTGAGACGACGGTACAGAAGGCTAACAGCGTCAGCTACCAGCTTGCCCCACTCCCTCAAACATCCTAACATCCCAACTGAGACCAAAGCCAAGCTCATTGATTGTATCTTTATCCCCACTTGACCTACCAATGCCAGACATGGACCCAAAAGTCTGGAACGCAAGATAACAACCTGCGGGGTGAAATACTTGAGGAGAGCAGTCAACAAAACCAAATGGGACATGATCAGAAATACCAGGATCAGAGAAATGATCGGAACAGCACATTTCCTCCACTACATTCAGACGCAAACAATCAGGTGGTTTGGATATCTGACACGTGTGGCACCTCACCAACTTGCCAGTAAAGTGTACAACAAAAGAACATCATGGTATAGGGCAAGAGAAAGAGGCCTAGAAAGACCTGGATCGAGGTCGGAAAAGATACCCTGAAGATGCACAACATCCCACTCAGCCAGGCCAAACAGCTTGTCAGAGACCGAAAACTCTATCTCCCCTCGACGCCCTAGATAGTGCAAGAGGAAGGATATAGTAAAGTATTTAGAAAATATGTAATGATTCCTAACAATTCTACTATAAAAAGGCGAACAACAAAAATGTAGACTCGCAAAGGAACGCATACCCCATCCGAGCTAACTTTGTCATGCTCAGAGGACTTGTGGGAGGGGTGGAGGGTGGAGGGTGGCGTGGGGAGTGGAATAGGGATAAGGTAAGGTAAACACAAAATATCGCATAGTTATAATAGATGGTAGATATTTTATGCCCACATAGAGACAATTTAACTCATTTCAGATGCAAGCTACTTTAATCCTGCCTGCAAGAGCTAACGTAGGGTTAGAAAGACAAGACATCTAAGCAGAAAGACGATGATACTCGATAAAAATCCCCCAACCTCCCAAAAAAACAAAACAAGAACCGAACACATGTCTTCTGCGCGCGGCAACGAAGCGCCTTACCGCGATACCAAAGACACCGGTAGAAGAATATCGCAGCTACATTGTATTCGCACGGTATTTTGAAACTCGAATGTGCCAGAGTATAGAAAACGAAGATGGAATGGGGAAGGGGGAGTTGGGGGGGGAGGAGGCTTGAGGGGAGTGAGTGGAGTGGAGGGGAACTGAGAGCGTGGGGGGGGGAGTGAGTGTGGAGAGGAGGGAAGATGGTTGGGGGGGGGGCGTAGAGTGCAAAGAGCCTGCGGGAGCTCACCATTACACAAAGTAATTCTTAAGGGGATAAAGTGGCTTTTCTTCCTACAGAAATTAACTGAACATTACAGGATAAGATCAGAGCGTGAGGACGTGTAGTTCTAATGGCTCTAGAGTTGTATACCATTTATAGAAAGTGTCCCTTCGGCTTCAATTAAGTTCGAATTTTAAAACTGTCCTCCAACGATAATCAACGTTTCAAAGACACATTGAACGTCAGAGATACCTACTGAATTTTTCGGCGGGTTGTAGAGCACTAAATTTGCTTTTACAATAATAGCAATGTGGCTTATCAAAGATTATATATATATA